GAGAGCGATCAGGACCCCAGATGTGACTGCCTCATCAGGCAGGTCCGAGATGTGTTGCACGTGCGAGCGTGGAAGACGGAGCGGAAGGTGAGGTAGCCTGTCCATCTTGCGGCCGACGTTGGCACAAATGCCTGGCGGACAGGGGAGTGGATTCCGTCTGCGCCGAGGAGAATGTCTGTCGCAATGATGGTGCCGTCTGTGAATGTAACAATGAGGCCTTGAGAAGAGCTGTCGCGCGATACCGAGGAAAAGGACTTGCTGAGATGAAGACGTCCTGGTTCTATATGGTTCAGTAGCGCTCGCTGGAGGTGAGGGCGATAGAAGCGGGCTGTCCTGTGTCTGTCTTCGACCTTTCCCACATGAAGGTCAGCAGACACAGTTTCGTTTGTTTGGTAATGCCTTTGGGAAATCAGCATGATGCGCCATACCTCCAAATTCTTGGCTCAGGAGGGCCACCTACTGATAGATCATGGGGCGGCCCGACTTGTTGCGGAACGCAATAGAATCATCGAGTACGTCGCTGACCCCGAGCCTCTCCAACGTCTTAAGACCATTTGGTCCAAGTGCGATGGTCGCTCCAATCTCACGCAGCTCCGTTGCACGCTCATAGACATGCACGTCAATGTTGACATATCTCTGCAGCGCAATGGCAGCCGTGAGACCGGCAATGCCTGCGCCGACGATGGCAATTCGGAGCTGCACCTGGTCTGTCATATTTCGTAGATTCGTGTGTCTGCATCTTAGTTACATGGATGTCAATGAAAGCATGCATCGCCCATCTATATCACAATGAACTCGTGGTGTTACAGCGAGGATTCTCCGACCTGGCCATGACGTGATTGTCTCCATTGTCGTCGCGATCTATCCCAACCACGAGGTTGTCGGCGCCACACGTCGGATCACCCCCGACTCCCCTCACCGAAGTTCGTTGGAAGATAAACGTCGGCCGAAGTTCCGACTTGGCGGCTGCTGGTCCTGAGTCGCGCGAGTCGACCAGAGGCAAGGCAGGATGCAGTACAGCAGCACGTCAACTCTGGAAGCCCAATAAGGGGTTGTGAAACTGGCATCTGGTTCGGCCAAGGGCCAATGACATGTCGAAGTGACCGGAGCGTGCTTCAAAGTAGTCCATATATCGGGCCTGCGAGTCCATGGCATCCACTCATTGGTTTCCCAAAGTATCGAGCTTCCGGGAACGAGCTATCGCGCATCATACCCACCGAGATCCCAGGACACGGAGGCGAGTTGTCGGATATCGCAAAATGAGCCCAGAAAAGAGTAAGAGCCATCCATGACGACAGGCCGATCGGGGCGCACGCAATACAGAATCTTCAATTCTAGAGCGGCAGTTATGTGAAGCAGGAATCATACACGAGGCGTGGTTCATTGCTTCGGACCCGTGTGTTCTTAAGCCCACCCCGACCCGGCCGATCTCGCCTTTGTCTTGTTCAGTGCATCGATATTCCGACAGACAAGGAAGCCCTGCTTCGATAATCGACAAGATGATCGAGTCGACAGTGCCGAGGAAACAGTGGTGGAAGATCCAGTGGTACTCTGATGATGATACCCCTGAAGAGCGCAAATTCATCATCAAGCTAGACCTGCTGGTCGTCCCCTACGCGGTCCTAGCCTATTGGGTCAAGTACATTGACCAGGCCAACCTGAGTGAGTGCGTCCAATACTCGAGTCTAGAGCGCACGACTTGCTTATGCGCCGTTGACAGACAATGCCTACGTCGCCGGCATGAAGGAGGATCTTGGATTCTTTGGAAACGAGCTTGTGCAGCTGCAGACCATGTATACTGTGGGAGCAGTTGTCGGCATGATCCCCTTTATGTTCCTGTTCACTTACATCCCGATGTACTGGACCATCCCTGCCATGGACATCATGTGGGGTGTTTTCACCCTGCTGCAATACCGGGCAACGTCGTTCAGAGAGATGGCCGCGTATAGGTTCTTCGTCGGGTTCTTCGAGGTAGGCTGAAGGGCGCTTGTGTTCTCGCTACAGTGTCGGACTGACGAATTCGCAAACAGGCGGCATTCTTCCCAGCCATGCATTATGTCTTTGGTAGGTCCTCATGATCGTAACTGGCGGCGTCAAACCACTAACATCACCGGCAGGATCCTGGTACCGTGGCCACGAAATCGCTCGTCGTGGAGGACTGTTCTACACAGGTCTCAACCTGGGCACGTTGACCGCGGGATTAGTCGCCGCAGGAGCATCGGCACGCCTCGAAGGTGTCAACGGCCTCGCCGGCTGGCGATGGATGTACATCATCTGCGCGCTGATTACCTTTCCGGTCGGGATACTCGGCTACTTCCTCCTCCCAGGCACGATCGACCAGCCCAATCGATGGGTTCTCAACGGCAAGGACATTGAAGTCGCCAAGAAGAGGCTCGAGAGAGCCGGCCACGTCACGCACGGCACCTTCAAATTCGGACACCTCAAGAAAATCTTCCTCAGCCCCCAATTCTGGACCGTCATCCTGGTCGACGTCCTCTTCTGGAACGCGGGCATCCACAAGAGTACGGGAAGCTTCCTGCTCTGGATCAAAAGTCTGCAGAGGTACTCGCCCTCCAAGATCAACGAGCTCGGCACGATCGCCCCGGCGCTGGGTATCCTGTACAACCTCGTGGCGTGCTTCGCATCCGACCTGATTCTCGGGCCCGCGTGGGCCATCACCTTTGCTTCAGGATTCAACGCTGTCGGGCTGATCATCCTAGTGGTCTGGAAAGTCCCCGAGGCGGCGCTGTGGTTCGCCTTTTCGACCATGTACTGGTCAAACGCCCTATCGAGCGTGTTTCACGGCTGGGTGAACACCCTGCTGCGCGACTCGCCAGAGGAGAGATCCTTCACGCTGGTCATGATCACTATCATTGCGCAGTCCTCGACGGCGTGGACGCCGCTACTGACGTTCCCGACGGTAGAGGCACCGCGATACCCCAAGGGGTTCGGTTTCTGTCTCGGATGTGCGCTTGCGCTGATCGCGTCGACGCATGTACTCAACATTTACATCAAGCGCAAAAGGTGAGCGGAAA